GGATAAATTGAACTGGCTACTTTCATCCAATATTCCAGTGACTTCTTAGTATTCAGCCCCTTTAGTACAAGGGCATGTGTATGTACACACACACACACACACACACACACACACACACACACACACACACACACCCTTTTCCTGTAAAAAGTCCACAACAGAAGAAACCAATGTTTCTGCCCTCTCTTCCATACTCTTTATCCTGTTGCTGTTTCCAATCAATTAGAATTTTGGGGGTCCCTTGGCAGGGAACCTTTTCCCTAGGAGGCCTTGGCCCTCCCTTCCCTGATGTCTGCTTCCTAACATCACAGGAGTTTCGGGTGAAGCTGTCACTCCAAGATGGGAAGTGAGGGGAAAGTGCACCTTGAACATAATGGTAACAGAACAAATTCTGTTGAATTGAATTGAATTGCAGAAGGTAAAAGGGCATACAAGAGGGCTAAGCAATGGGAGAGGAGTGTCAGGAAGGAGGATCTGGGACATTGGAGGAAGAGGGTAGAGAGAGCCACAACATGGCAAGGACTTGTGTCCCTAATGACCACTTTTATTTGTATTGACAGACACTAGATGGGACATAAATAAATATTCAGAAGCTTTTCTTTAAAGAGGTTCAAAAACTGTCAGGTGTTTCCACTTAGAGCCAAGGAAATATGCACCTTTTAATATGGAAATCAAATATGGACACCTGCATTCGCACTAGGAGCTGGGAGTTCCTACATGACTTCAGGAGGGCTGGGCATGATTTTTGTCCAGTTTGGCCCCCGGATGCTGCTGATGCAAGGACTGGGATGGTCAGCTTTCCTGTGAGTTTCCATCTCTTTTCTTGCCAATCCCATTGGGATATACCAGCGGAGAAAAAGAAAAAAAAGGCAGAAAAAGTTTGTAAAAAGTTGAAGTAAACCCTCATTAGCCTAACAAAGATAGAGTTTAGAGCTTCGGAGGGCACTCTTCTTACTTTGTTTCCTTCTCTTCTGCTCTTTCTCCAAATATATTCCCTCTTATATTCACCCTGCCTCCTACCTCCTACATCTCATTTCCAATCCCTTAGCTAAAATTCTCTTTCCCCTTAAGGAGGGAAATTGCTCTCCACTCCTCCTTCTCTTCCCTTCATCTTTTGTCACTCTTTTCAACACACATGAGTTTTCCTAAAAAGCAGAGTACCCTTGGGGGAGAGTTCATATCTTCCATGGGCTTGGTTGCCAATACCTGAGGTTGCCCAGTCAAAGTTGTCAATATTAGCTAGCTAGCATTTATATAGTGCTTTACAAAGCACTTTGCAAATATTATCTCATTTTATCCTTACAACAGCCCTGGGAGATAGATGCTATTATTATTCCCATTTTAAAGGGGAGGAAACAAGCCAATAGAGGTTAGGTGACTTGCTCAGAATCATAGTCTGCGAGCAGATTTGAACTCAAGTCTTCCTGACTCCAGGCCCAACACTCTGTCCACCACACTACCTAGTTGTCATATAATGCTGCAGATCTAGGAATAAACTCCAAGTCTTTAGGTGGTGGCGGCAGAAGCAAAAAATCAAGGCAGAAATAGTAAGTTCCTTGTTTCATCACATACTGTTTAACAGGGTTTCTGTGTTTGCTTCTGTCACAAATTAACACAGGTGGAGTTATCAAAAACAAACTTCACCTTATGGCCACTCACCAAAAACAAAGCCATTTCCTCCAATTTGTTAACAGGTGAAAACTACAAGCTGTAAAGTATAGTGAGTTTGACTCCAATTCTTGTCAAAATTCTTGAACATAATAAGTGCATAATTTGTAAGCAACTGGAAAGGGGAGCAGTGATTACTAAGAGCCGTCATGATTTCTTCAAGAACTGATCACAGAAGATTAACTTCATTTCCTTTTTAGACAGTTAATAGATAAGTGGACAAGTCATTTACCCCTGTTTGCTTTAGTTCCTCATCTGTAAAATGAGAAGGCAATGGCAAACCATCCCAATATCTTTGCCAAGAAAACCCCAAATGGGGTCACCAAGAGTCAGACACAACTGAAAAACTATTGGACCACAGCAACTAGATTAGTAGATCGGGGAAGGCTATTAAAATCATTTATCTAGCTCTTAACAAAGCATTTGACATCTCTCATCTTATCACCACATTGCAGAGATGTGGACTAGATGATAGTACAATTAGAGGGACATGGTACCAGTTAAAAGGCCAGACCCAGATTATAGTCATGAATGCATTCATGTCAGGTTTGAGATAGGTCTCTATGGAGTACCTCAGGAATCTGTACTTGGCTTAGTACTGTTTAATGTTGTTTTTTTTTTATTAAAGACTTGGATGGGGGGCAGCTAGGTGGCCCAGTGGATAGAGCACAGGTCCTGGAGTCAGGAGGACCTAAGTTCAAATCCGGCCTCAGACACATGACACTTACTAGCTGTGTGACTCTGGGCAAGTCTTGCCTTGCCAAAAAAAAAAGACTTAGATGAAAGCATAGGTCTCTTGCTTGTCAGATTTAGGGAAGACACAAAACTTGGAGGATTAGTTAATATCATCTCTATATGTTCTATACCACCAGAAGACAAAGTTAACATCCAAAGAGAGCTTGATAGGCTAGAATTGTTGCGGTCTGAGAGGTTAAGACCCCTCAAAGACTGGAGTACAGGACGGGTAGTCTGGAATGAATTCACAGACTCAAGCATTCTTTAAGTCAAGGTGGCAAAGATTTATTGTTACGCTTTTCAGCGGGCAAGGATTCTTAAGGAACCTGCAAGTGACTGAGGATGGAGCTAGGGTTTATATGGAAAAGGGCATGGGACAGGAATGCCAGGGACACTGATGAGGTAATCTAAAGTTCCAGGTGGTTTGGGAGCTATGGATGAGAAAGTACAGGGAGTAGACTGGACAGGCAGGGAGATGACAGAGGTATGGATCTTTGGAGTCTGGCAGGAGGAAGAGTCCTTGGGCTGACCAAAGACATAACTCCTTGGGCTGGGCAAGGCACCCCTCTCCCTCTGTCTTGATGAGAGAATGCTCTGCAACAAGGGAAAGCTTTCTTACAAGACAGGAACGTACTAAGGAATTGGGAGGCTTCCAGAGACATGATCTGAGGGCTGGGGCCTGAGCAGCCCAGCACTCTCTCACCCAGCTTTGTGTAGCTGCACCAGGGAGAGAGATAAGGGTTGTGCTGGGGCCCACGCATGAATAACTGCTAGGCACAGTGTCCTTGGGCTGGGGAGTAGTTGTCAGAGACAGTGTTTCTGAGGCTAGGGAGAAACTGGGGTCTAAGAACAAGCACAAGCACCCTAGCACCCCATCAGAATGATAGGCCAAATCTCATAAGATTAAATTTAATAATGGTAAATGTAAAATCCTATACTTGGGGTCATAAAAGCCAAGTTCACAAAAACAAGATGGATGAAGTATGGTTAAATAATGGTTCTCATGAAAAAAAATAAAGAGTTAATAATGTGACATGGCAGCCAAAAAATCGAATATGACCTTGGGTTGTTTTAAAAGACATAAAGAATACAGAGAGAAGAACAAAACAGTCCAGCTGTATTCTGCCCTGGCTAGGCAACAGCTGGGCTGCTGTTTTCAGTTCTGGACACCATATTTTAGGGTAGAGGCCAAAGGGATATTCATAGTTGGGACTATTAGTGATAGGAGATTTATATACATTTTGGGAACTGATAGTTGTTCACTTGAGTGGCTTTTTTTTTCCTACTTTTAATACAATGTTCTGTAATAACAGCAGCTACATACTTTCAAATGTGAAGTTAGGCTCTATAACTTGGGAGTGAGGTGGGAGAGAGAGCCATCATACATTTTCCCAAGTTTTCTGGGAAGTAGTCATGAGCCAAAATAAATGAAAAAACAATCTCCCAAAGTGTACTCAAGGCTTTTATGTTAAGAGCAGCTAGGTGGCACAATAGATTGAGCACTGACTGTAAAGTCATGAGGACTCGTTCATATCTGAACGCAGACTAGCTGTGTGACCCAGGGCAAGTCACAACTATTGCTTCCAAGAAGAAAAAGGAAGGAAGCCTTTTATGTCATAAGAATTTTTGACATAAAGGTCACAACTAGAGGCAGGATAGAGCAGTGGGAAAAAATACTGACTCAGGAGTCAAAGGATCTGAGTTCAGATTCCTGATTTTGACTCCTTCCTCTTCTGAGTGGCCATAGTAATTTGTACCATACCTTTGGCAAAGCTCACATTTCTACAGCATTTAATGACTTACACCTCAGCACTATGACAGAAATGGGAAAAGTGCCTTGAATCCCACTTGACAGATCTTTTTTTTTTTTTTTGAGGCAATTGGGGTTAAGTGACTTGCCCAGGGTCACAAAGCTAGTAAGTGTTATGTGTCTGAAGCCAGATTTGAACTTAGGTCCTCCTGATTCTAGAGCTGGTGCTCTATCCACTGCCTCACCTAACTACCCCCTACTTTACAGATGTTAAAGAAATCCGTGATTTGCTTAATGTCACTGGGCCAATAAAGATCTTTTGACTCCAGTTCAGTGCCCTCTGTACGACATGATTTTACAGAGTTAAAAAAAAAAATCTATGTTTTGCCCCTCTCACCATTATTGTGTGTTCCTTGAGGACATGAAGTGGGCCTTTTCTTGATTGCCTCTGTATTCCCACACTACATAACAGAATGCTTTGTAGTAGCAGATACCAAATAAATAGTATGTGATGGATTTAATGAATGAATGGAAATTAGAATGAGCAGAATCAACTTTACAAGCTTAATCTACAGTAGGGGGAAAAAAAGAACCCAAGCACATGAGCCACAGCAAATTTCCAAATATAAACCATTTCTGGATTATCCAAGGCTCTTTTGTGCCATTGTTAATACATATATAAATATAAGGCATTGATTGATATGTACTTCAGAAATTGATTGCTTTGAGACAATAATATACAAACTCCAATTAATCGTTTCAAGAAAACCCAAAATTACTATGTTACTATAAATGTTCTTCGTTCCTAAATGCCATTAGAGTTTCACCCTGAGAAGTCAAACCATACCTTTGGTTAGGGAGTGAATTCCAAGTTTCACCTGAGAGAAGTTTCCACTTCCAATTTCCCCTCGAACCCGGTAGAAGCCAATCCTTTTCCCGAGTGTGATTTCTCTCACCACCTTCTCATCCTTTGACATGTCCCGCATGAGTTTCTCAAATGGAGTCAGCCTGTGCTGCTGCCCTTCCACATCTCCCTGGTAGCGCTCAGTCTGGCCACAGTCCTCAATGCTCTCCCGGCGATTCCATCTGGCATAGCGGGGGTTCCCCAGGCCTCCATTCACATACACCGTGGTCATCGTCCATGAGAGGCTCACGTCTCCATTGTGGTGTCCAAGGGGTGTTAGCACAGTGTTTAAGAGGTCAGTGAGCTGGGCAAGGTGAGGCCAGCTGCAGCTCACTGCTTCAACAATGATCTACACAGAAAATAACTTGACTTTGGGCTCAGAGCTGCTTGCTTAGCCCAGAGGATAGTCATTCAACATGAGCAACTTCAGTTTCTCAATTTCACTCTAAAGACTGCCAATGCTATCATGGTATAGCATATGTGGTAAAACAGAAAGCTACTCATTTCATGTGGGAAGTTCTAAACATTTTCCTGTGGGTAGAATGTATAGGCTTTCATTGACTGTGGGGTCCAGGACCACAACCAGCTGCCCTTGTAGGGACAGCTCTGCTCAGACTCTGGTCACTTTCAGATCCCACTTAGTAAACCATAGCATCTTCTTATCAGGCTGCAAATCAAAGACCCCAAAGTGCTATTTCCTTTGATTCATTTTCTAGCCTCTGTGAAATTTTCATTCCAGCATATAAAAGGCTCCTTCTGCCCCACCAAGTCCTGGTTCCATGGGTACCTCTTTGGTTCTCTCCATTTCTAATTGCCACCAAATGAATATACTGCCCATTTGTTCTAGAGCCTGAAATCTGGGCTCTAGTTGAAAGAGGAAGCTTGCAAATAGGTCTTCTTTTAGTCACATGGGAGACCAGAGAAGGGTTCCAGCACTACAATGTCATTTTAACATGCCTTTTTTTATGAGCCTTCTTCTAAACCTTGAGCCTTCTCAAAAACTTGGCAGATGCCTATTCATCCTAAGAGCAGAAATGAAGGGGGTGATTAGCTTGTTTATATCATTGTTGAATTCTTTTTATCACATATTTAATATATGAAAAATATTATATTATACTTATATAATAATATATGTATATTTAAGGAAGGAGGGATGATACACACACACATACATTCATATTAACAATTTGTAATTGTTATATTCTAGTAAAGTACAAATCTTTCTTAAAGTTTAGGGGGAAATGTATACTGTCTTCTCTTTTAGGGTGCCCTGGGTAGTTTAAACCATTGGTGTCAAACTCAATTAGAAATGGGGGCCACTGAATTGTACATAAGTATCCCTATAGATGCATATTGACTTTGAAAACCACATATTAACACTATCTAGATTTTATTGCATTTTTATTTATTTTGTTAAATATTTCCCAATTATATTTTAATATGGTTCAAGCCACTCTCAAGAATCGTTGAGGCTGCAATATGGGCTGTGCGCTTGGCACCTCTGGTTTAAATAACACATGAGCAGACTCAAGGTAAGAATGAAATTGGGCTAAATAGTCCCAACTCAAGAGACCTTCGGATTGGTTGAATGAGCATCCACGAAGTCACTTTTCTGCTCTTAGCAGTCTCAGGTACTCTAAGGAGTTGCAATACTTCTTGCTGGGATTCTAAACCAATGTTTCCCCGTGGGAATGAAGGAGCCTGATTCAAATCCTCAAGGAAAGCTGGGATGAATAGGTCATAGATTATCTCCTGGAGATGTTAGCTTGGGATCCAGCAAAGGTAAAACAAATGTCTGTTAAAATGACACCAAACCAACTATCCAGCCTATGACCAATGACTGGGGACATGTTTCATCTTCTGTTTACTCAAACCATGAAATTTCAGCAATTCTACAAGATATCTGCCTGAGAATGATCCCCTTTTACTGTGGTATATACGATGTCTTATCTTTCAGTCGTAGTGGAAGTTCTAGCAAACCCAGTTCTCTGATAACAAATACGCCACATAAAATGATACTAAATATTATGAGAGATGTTGCTGTCCTTCATCCACAGAGATGATTCTATGGAGCTGCCATCTATACCAATGCAGGTTCAGTCACACATTCCTGCCCAATCAGAGATAAGGACTAAGTCTCCCAGTCAGGAAAGGGAGTTAGCAGAGTATGGGGATATCTGATGGAAACCCTGGCTTTATTAGCACCATACTCTAATCAATTCAGTTAGCTACATTGATTGTTGTCCTTGTTCAGTAGAGTCTGACTCTTTGTGACCCCATTTAGAGTTTTCTTGGCAAAGGTAATGGAGTGGTTTGCCATTTTCTTTTCTCCAGCTCATTTTACAAATGAGGAAACTGAGGCAAACAAAGCTAAGTGACTTGCTTAGGGTCATATAGCCAATAAGTGCCTGTCTGAGGCTGAATTTGAACTCAGGAAGATGAGTCTGTCTTCCTGATTCCAGGCCCTGCTCCAATACTATGATAATGACTTAGTAATGCCCAATAGTTTATAGTAGTAGGTGCCAAATAAGCATTTGCAACTGAATTCTTTGTCAGTTCGTTTGAACAAAGATTTATTAAGCTTATTAGGACAATTTCAGGGCTTCTTGGCTCAACTGACCGTAGGACTTAGATGAAAGGGATCTGAGAAATCATCTAATAAAAGCTTCTTATTGTACAGATGAAGAAACAAGGGCTCAGACTAGGTAAGTGACTTGCCTAAGTATTATTATACAGTAATACAGAGTGGAGGTTACATAGTCTACATCTTCCAACTCCAGATCCAATAATCTTCCCAGTGTACCAGGCTGCCTCTCCAACTCAAATCTATTACTACCTCGACTCACTGCAAATGCTCAATTTTAAAATAAATCAAGCCACTATGGCAAATCTTACATCACATACCAAGACAAGCTTCAAATGAGTACATGATTTTGATGTAAAGGATGACATCATAATTAAATTAGACAAACATGGAAGAAAATACCTGTCAGAACTATAGAGAAGGAAAGAATTAATGACCAAACAAGAAATAGAGAGGTTCACAGGAGGTAATCTGGACAATTTTGATTACATGAAATAAAAAAAATGTGTATAAGCAAAAACAACTTAGCTAAAATTAAAAGAGAAGGAAAGTGGGAAACAAAATTTGCATTGTTTCTCTAATAAAGGTCTTGTTTCTAAAATATGTAGGGAATTGATTCAAATTTATAAGAATAAGAACCATTCTTCAACTGATAAATGATCAAAGGATATGAATATGCAGTTTTCAAAGAAAGAAATTCAGGCTATCAATAGCCATATGAAAAAATGCTCTAGATCACTATTAGAGAAATGCCAATTAAAATAACTCTGAGGTAGCACCTCATACCCATCAAATTGGCAAAGTTGACAACGAATGAAAATGATAAATGCTAGAAGGAGTGTGGGGAAATATACATTAATGCACAGCTGGTGAACTGTGAATTGGTCCAGCCAATTTGGAACTATGCCCAAAAATCTATTAAAATGTCCATATCTTTTGACCTAGCAATACTGCTAAGAGGGCTATGCCCCAAAGAGATCAAAGAAAGAGGAAAAGGACCCATATGTGCAAAAATATTTATAGAGGGCCTTACTGTGATGGCAAAGAATTGGAAACTGAGGGAGTACCTATCGATTAGGAAAAGGGTGAACAAGTTCTAACAATGGAAGCATATGAAGTGATAGAATACTATTGTGCTGTAAGAAATTATGAAGGGGATGGTTTCAGAGAAATCTGGGAAGACTCATACGAGCTGATACAAAGTGAATGATCAGAACCAGGATAGTGATTTATATACTTACAATAATATTTCAAAAGACAAACAACTATAGTAAATTATAGAAAAAAGCTCTGTTGAGATGTACATATTTTGGTCAATTGTGGGGTTTCTCCTGTTTTAGTATTAAAGATCTTTATTAGATGTCTGAAAACTGAAACTTATTACAAAATCATAAATTTCGAGCTAGAAGTGACTTCTGATTTCTACTTCAATTCCCTCATTTTTCAAATGACGAAACAGGCATAGAGGTAAATGGCTTGTCTATGGTCAAATTACTTCTGAGGGCCTCAGTTTTTTATATGAACAAAAAGTCACAGTTATGCTGTATATTGAGTTTTTCCAACTTAACCCCCAAATTCATGTGGAAATTTCTGCCTTCTTATCCAGTTTTCATTGATACCAATGACAATATGGCTGGCACCAGAAGCCCCAGACACAGTATCATTGATGCAATGATGCAATGCATCCAAGATTCAGGGTGTGGGAAAATTGGGCCTTAATCATTAGTTTACCCTTCCTATATGGGGAGGCATTAAACGGATGAACAACAAGGGCTGACTTTGAGATGTGTTTTGCTTAACCTAAAACCAACAGTGAAAAACAAACCAAAGCAAACCACCTCACTTCTGTTCTTTCAGTCTGAATTTACACAGCAGTTACCAAACTCCCGATGAGTTCTTCCTGATCCCACCTCTGCATCTCTTTGTGTCTGTCTCTTTTCTCTCTCTCCCTCCCTTGCCCACCCCTCTCCCCCTCTGCTGTCGGCAAGTTTCTCTTGCTTCGAGAGGGGTCTTATACACACCGAGATATAGCAGGCAGCAAAGCTTAACCAAAACTAGGATCCTCAGGGAGAATTATGAAATAAGCTCGCAAAAAAGACCCAATTTGCAAATCAGCAATTTGACCTTTTCAGGCTCGTTTGCATCTTCTCAGGCTTTTAGCCATAATTCTGTGTTCTTCATTTAGGAGGCAGGCTTCCCTGCAACACTATCTAATTCTTCCTGGAGTGGAAAAGGCTTGTGGAGCTCCAAGTGACAACCAGTGTGTGTTGTTCATTAGATCTGTTGCCTCTCCTTGTATTAATTCTTTACTCTTTACTCTACTTTTTACTTCTTTACTCTATTTTTCTTTAGCTGTTGACACCAAATCTCTGTGCTGAGGAGTTCTTTAGGTAAAGGGCATAGATTTTGTTACATGGCCATTGTAACAACCATCTTGACTGTTCAGGGCCATCTTTGCTTCTTTCCTGGGGGTTTTCAGCTGGGTTCTCAGCCAGATGAGGCTTCTGAGAACTGAGTTCTAGATTGAGGAGGTGTCCCTATAGGTCATCCCAGAAAGAATGTTTATAGCTCATGAGATGATACTGCTTTCAGATTTCTTTACTTCTCAGGAAAGAGATTACACTTTCTAGGGTCTATCATGTGCACATACATATACATAT